GGACCTGGCTGTATGCCAATAATCGGTCATGTGGATTACTATCGTGTAAAACAACATCGGCGAAAAAACTGGGAAGGAATGCCCCGATTCGATAAATATCGCCGTGTACTTACGACAATCGTAATAACTTCAACAGGAATCTGTTGCAATGTATTACTTACAGTGGTTGCCAGTTCAGAGTACATACCGCCCGCCGATGGTTTGCAGATGACCTTTCGATTGCGTGAGGAAGTTCACGAATTGCGAACTGTTTTTTGTGCTAGTTTCTAACAAGTACTAGTACATTTCTTGCCCCTTAATTAGAAAGTCTATCTTTGGCGCGGCCTTCGCCAGTACAACACAAAGGTACGTGTCTTTCTAGCGGGATATGATACCCATTTTGGATCCTGTTGTTGGTCTAATTATCCTAATCGAGTGTCCCCCACAACACGACGTGCATTTCGCAGATAGAAAACCTCTAAGAAAATCTAGTTCCTTCCATAATTCCAGTCGCCTTACGATTTATCTTACGGTGTGGACCAGAATTTCCAGCATATGAAAATGTTTAGGGTTCATAGCGGGCCTACACCAGAGGTCGTCGGGTTACGCTTTCATGCAAAGTATAAATGAAGGTGGAATCTTCAAAATTTTTCCAACTTTTGTGACTCCTTATCACGTTCTTTGCTGGAAACCAAGGGTCCCAATGCAGCCATCGGGTTCTATTGCCATAATCACACTTATTTCTTTGTTTATTTGATAATTTACTGGCATGGGTTTTGGGTTTGATCTGGTTTGAAATTCTAAGCTAAAGCTGATCAGGTGCCAGCGCTTACGAGCACTACGTACTAACCTGATCCCTAGATCGATCTTTCCTAGACCATCTTCGTCCTTAACCCCTCGCTTTGCACAAAAGGGCGTTCCACTGAAGAATTGTTAAAAATAGGCCAAATGCAATTGTTTCAACAAGATTAAGTGAGCTTCATATGCATGGCGTATTCCAGTAAAACAAGGCGAGGTCGGGCCCGCGGCTTTCCTCTGGATATCAGTTTCCATTTACTTCCACTTAAGGACAGTGAGCACGATAGCTGGAGGGCGGTGCTGTCTTGGTGACGTCATTGATTGTCATTGGTGGAATAGACCGTTCTTCACGCTGGAAGAGCGTGGTTACCGCCTCTCAATGACCGTACACCAATGACGTCATTCGAGCCGTACCGCCCCCACCATCGTGTTCACTGCCTTTAAATCCTTTCTAGATCCCTTTCTGGTGATCTTCGAGCAAATGATTTTAATTTCCTCTCCACTTTATAATGGTTTTGATTATGTCTAAAACTATTCCTTCTATTCTTTGCTTTCTTCATTTTATTGTTCGTCCAGACAAATCAGGTAGCGTTATGAGCCAGGTACCAAACGAGGTGCCATCCATCATGGCTAAAGGTGTCATAAAAGGTTTCTGGTGGGTAGAATGTATAAGTGGACGAGTTTTTGCAGTGGAAGGTATGAGGTAGTTGGCAGGATGGTGCAAATTGAAAATGAAGAACCATGTGATCCCATGTAATAACCTGCACATTCGCTAACTGCCATCGCCTAGATCGTTACGAATTATGACATCCGGGTAAACTCGTCCACTGCCGTGACATATGACATCTCATTGGCGCAACTTTCCGATTGATTATGACTGTTTAAAGTTTAAAATGAGTTGTAAACTTGCCCTTAGAGGCGTTAATTGTAGTCTCAGCTAACGTATTCTAGTGCGAAGATTGAAGCATAAGTGTAAGAAGTTCAGAGTTGACCAGGCCTCTCCGCCCAGGATAGCTGCGGTGTCTATTTCTAGCCGATTTTGCCTATCAATAAATCTTCAGAATCAGCGAATCTAACGATTTCAACTTCTTGGAATAGACTGGTATCGGTGTATCAAATTTCAAGTGGATAAAAAGATTGGTTGGTCTGGGTTAGATCCGATCCAGAATACTGCTCATCAATTGTGATAAGAGGGGCCCTTTCCAGTACATCTCT